CCCCAAAACCCCAAAACCCCAAAACCCCAAAACCCCGACACTTGAAAGTATTGGCATATTAATAATTTATGGATTGATTTGAAATTATGAATTTAAAAGGGTGATTATAATTATAAATCTAAAATCATTCTAAGAATTTCAATGTCAAACTTCAAGTCAAATTAGCCAACTTTTTATTAGAATCACGACGATATCGTGATCAAGACTGCAGGAAGCAGGGTCAACCGCTATCAAGACGTGTAGCCATCAGAGCTCGAAGACCTATAGTCATATCTCCAGGAGCTCTAATCAGAGGAACGTAAGTAGAAATATCTAGGTTTGTGCAACCAGGGGGCGACATGCTACATGAATAGTTTACTCTAGGCACTTTATATGACTCCAGAGTTCAGACAATTTATTTACTCATGGGACTATAATCCAGATTTGCACGGTAATCAGGAATATAGCATACCCTATCAACTTTAAAGACTGTTTGCTCACCTCTAGATGTCAAGGAGAAGAGCGGTTGAGACTAGAGGTCTGACGAAGAGTTTTGGGTGGGGTGCAAATATGAGTTTCGTCCAACACGATGCCTAAGAATTATGTAGAGTTTTGTTCGATGCCATTGAATAAAGTTATGCTATAGTTGGGGATCAATGTACTTATATCAAGGATTTGTATTAAGGAGAAATTGAAAGTTACGTTAAGTGTGAGGAGTGCGGATATGAATCAATCAATTAGGATAAGTATTTAGATCTGACTCTTCCTATCAGAAACGAAGATTAGTTTGGATAAAACGCTTAATCAAAAACTAAAGCTCGCAACAGCACCTCACTTGAAATGGCTCTCGAAATATTTCTCAAGCCTGAGAGATTAGACGGAGATAATCAGTATAATTGCTCATAGTGCCAGAAAAAGGTCAATGCAATTAAAGGTTTGAAAATAAAGTCGACTCCAAAAATATTGACTCTTCAGCTAAATAGATTTACCATGGATTACAACACATTTTAGTTGGTCAAAGTGCATGACAGAGTCACTTTCCCCTTTGTTTTGAACATGAATGATTATTTAAATGGTTATGATGGAATTAAAAATAAACGAGTTGATGAAATGAGATCAGAAGATTAATCTGCAAAGCCTTAGTAGACAGAAACTTTTGAATATGTAAAGAAGTAATCTGTCGCTTTTGATGTTTAAATGGAGGATTTATCCTAATCTAATTAAAAAGACGAAGCTAGTCAGAGTAATATTGTGTCAAGTGGGATGACTTTAGCGACATCTAATGAAGATGCAACAATGATTGACATTAGTATTCAGTCAGACAACGATAAGCCTAGAACAGGTTCAGCTGAACAAAAGACTAGGCACTAAAAATTGATTGATGAGGACATATTATAAGCAGATTTCATCAAAGGTCAATCATAAATTAGTGAGAATTTTGAAAGTCCTATAAAATAAAATAGTTCTGAGAATTCACCACTAAGTCTCAAAGAAGAATAAGATATAGATTTCGCATAGAAGCAAGCATTGGACTCAAAGCGAAGAGATATAGAAAACAAACAGAAGATCTAAGAAAATCTAAAAGAGGGTGATTAGGTATATGAGCTATTTGCAGTATTAATACATTAGGGCAACTAAGGATCTGGTCACTATTATGCTTACATTAGAAGTTTTGAAAAGAATGAAAATGGGATAAGTGACTGGATGGTGTTCAACGACTAAGAAGTAAGGAAAATTAGTGAGGAAGATGTTGAAAGAGCCTATGGATAAAAGTATGGTGACCCTACTGCATACCTTTTGATGTATCGAAGATATGAACCTTAAAATGAGATCATCCAGATCTCCAATGAGTTAATAAAAGAATGCTACCATAATGAATTACAGTCATAAATCTAATCATTAATCAAGGAATAGCGAGAAGTTTATGAGCAGATGATTCAGCTCACTTTAAAGATATATCTTGACAATTAACAGGAAAATGCAGAATTAAATTATGTTGAAGTAAATATTAAAAAGACTGAGACATTAGGCGAGCTCGCCAAACAAGCATTGCAGCTGCATGGTATAGATATATAGTCTATAGATCTCCAGAACAACTTTAGATTTAGAGCATTTGATGAGAAAAAGAAAGCAAAACTGACAGTATATAATCAATATGATGACACACTCCTCAAACTAAGATTCAACTACACAACAGTTCTGATGATTGAACTTAAGTAATCTGAATAGGAATTTGAGGTTTATGATCCAGACTGGATCTTCATTAGAGTAATAAAGCATGATTCAAATGTTGATTATGAATAAATGAACCCTGAGATTATTTAGTAACATTCTTAGGTTATCAAAGTTAACAAAAAATTAGAGAATATTTACGATTTAGACAAAAAGATCTCATAACTCTATGGAATACCTGAGTAGAAACTAGTGATACTTATGAGAGTTCAATTTGCTAAATCAGGTACAGTAAAATCTGAAGTCTACAATCTCCATTGGCGTAAGAGTAAAACTATTGAGGAAGGTCCTAGGATTGATGACTCGAGTTTCCTTTTCATCGAGGAGGGTGATACCAAAGACAAGAACGAGAACTTCAAATGGCATTAGGAATTCAATAAACAATTTGAAAGCCTTACTATAAATATTAATGATCCGTCCTCTGACCCCAAAGGGTTGGAATACAAGTAGTAGATTTAGGTGCGAAAGAGTGAAACACTATGTGAATTTAAAAACAAAGTAGGACTGCTACTCAATTTAAATCCAGAGGAGATTATTGTTAAAAGAGCAAATAATCTAGCTGAGTTGAAAAACTTGAATTGGAAAATGGGAGATTTTAACTTAATTGATGGGGATAAATTGAAAATTGAGCAAGGAAAACCACATATTGAAGGTAATTTTGAGATTAATGTGAGCTTGATTAGACTAAGCAATGATAATTTTACTGATGATAAACTTTTCGAGACCACATTCTTATTCAAACTTCAAATAAATCCAAACATTGATTCTACAACTTTAAAGAAGTTAATAGTTGAACAGTATAACGATAAAAATGAGAATAAACTTGACATCAGATAGGTAAAGGTGAGGGTAGCTAAGTTAGATGACTTTGGTGATGTTCTTAAGGATGCTGATAGCCTTGAAAATTTTGATATCTTTGATGGAAAGTAGATTTATATATAGGAGATCATTCCTGACAGAACTTTTGACTTTGTAAACGCCAAAGATCCCAGTAACTGTTATCATGTTCTCTTTAGAGAATGGGATCCTGAAACTTGGTAATATGGCCCTCTATACGAAGTCAGAATAGATAAGCAAGCATATTTGAACAAACTTGCAATATTCTTAGCTGATAAAGTTTTCCCCCACATCTCTGCTGAATCAATTCAAGGTTGTAAAGTGAACTATCTCTCTATGTTTAAGAGAAGTGAACTGGTATTGAAGAGGTGGAACGTCTTGAAATCTCAAGCAACTAAGATAGCTTAATCAGCAGTAAAGATCAGCAAAGATTCAGATTACATCATAATTAAAGATTCACGAAAGTTCGTGCGAGAAGATTTGACTGAAGAAGAGATGCAAAAATGGTCTACACCAAGTTATGTAACTTACTTAAGTAAGAGAACAGTAAAACCCAAGCCAGCTCCAAAGCCAATTGGGGCAAAGAGTGGGGGAGGTATAGCTAAAAGTACTGCTGATGCAAAGATTGAAATAAAGAAAAAGGTGATGGCAAGCAGAGCTAATAGACCTTTGGAATAGGCTATCAAGATTAATGTTGGCGGACCAAAAATTGATAGTGAAAGCAAGCAGCAATCAAATGATTAGAAGGAAAGTAAAAGTAACGAGGAAGTAGAGCAAGACCCTGAAAACTGCTGTCTAATGGGAAGTGGAGTTTTTATGCAAGTTTGATTACTGTTAGAAGTTCCTGTTTTGTATGATATACGATAAGAGTGAAGAGAGAGAGAGTATTTAAGTTATTTAAGGAATTTAAATATTTTTGCCTATAACTATATATACATGTCTATTAATCAAATTTATAAAGTATACTAAAAATTCAAACTAATTTAAAATGAAATTTGCTACACTTATCTTAGCAGCAACGTGTCTTATCTACAGTGTAGATGCAGCAGGAAAGATCGTTGACTTGACAAACTTCCACGACAAGCATTATCAAATGCCAATTGAGTTGGAAGTCGGAGACAGATTCGAGATCAAGATTAGAGAAAACCCTACCACTGGATACAAATGGTTGCAATTAGACTAGGAATTAGAAAAGCATGGGCTTCAAGATGTTATTGTCCTAAGCGAGTCAAGATACAAGTCTGATGATAACCCAAGAGGTGCCTCAGGAGTCGGCGGAACTAGATTCTTAGAATTCACTGCTCTTAAGCCAGGCCTAGGAGATCTACATTTGATCATGGCCAGATCTTGGGAACTAGAGACAATCCTTGATATTACTGAAGAACTCGACTCATATGTTAGTAAGTTAATCCCAGTCAGAGTATCAAAGTGAGTGATGTGAGAATATCTCCTAGTTCTTTATTTTGGAGTAAGAGCTAATGCATAAATAATGTATTAAATTAATTTATTTCGTGGCCCTGCATATTCGATATTCAAACTCGCGGGGTTTTGGGGTTTTGGGGTTTTGGGG